GCTTAAGCAATCCGTTCTCGACATGCAAGGAATCTCATTGAGCCCATAATGCCTTGAAAGAAGGTGAGTTGTCTGATGTTTCCGACCAGCCATCTTCTTTCCATCTGAGGATCGGCCCAATATCCTCGTCTTCCTCCTGGTCCTTCCTACACCGAGCTGTAGTCCATTCATCACCTTCTACAACTGCTTTCTTCCTGCGGTTGAACCATACTTTGGGCTGCTCAACCTCGTCGTAGTGTTTGCAGTTCTGATAATAAGCGATCAATCCTGCAGGCTTCGCTTCAATACAACGCTGATTCAGCTTGAACTCTTCATTTCCAAGACGTAGGACTTCCCTCACTGGATCAATTGTCAATTCATGGCGGCAAATCAAATCTATTCCCAAAATGAAGTCATCTTCCATGCTAGCTAGAAAAGCCCGATGTCTTATTTTCAGCTGACCAATACAGATTTCTACCGCTGCATCTCCCATGATCAGCGTCGACTCTCCAGTTACAGTTTTCAATCTTATCGTTTCGGGTATAGCTTCTCCATCTTCAACTCTCACGAGTCCTTTACGTACAACTGATACCTCAACGCCAGTATCGATGGTGATTGCTGCTGGATTTTCATAAATCGTCCCCGGTATAGTTGAATAACTACATCTGGTAAAACTTTTTATTTTCACTTCGCTGGCGGCCTTATTCTCACCAGCAAACACATTTCCCAAAGTACTGGTTCTTTTTGCATCTCGGTGAGATCTCTGTCGTGCGCTTCTTCTTGGAACTGGTGATCGAGCACGACAATCACGTTTGAGACGTATCTGGCGCCCACATCTATAGCATTCTACGCTTTGCTTACGATACACATCATTTTCCCGTCGTCGAAAGAGGCCATCTATTTGCTGTAACAATTTTTCTAACAGCTTCTCTATCTTGTTGTTTTCTTCTTTCTCTGTTTCTGCTAAGCTGACTTTGTAGCACGTTCTTGAGGAACAGTACGCCGCTTCCACTTCCAGCGCACGAATCAAAACATCAGATGATGTCTGATATCTTGATAGTTGTAAGATCTTCTTAACTTCAACGTCGCGAATGCCATTTACAAAGGTTTATATCGGAAGCCTCTCTTGTGTAGTCGGTGGTGCTTCGGAGTATGCTAGACGTACCATTCTTTTTGACAACTGCTGCAAATTCTTGTAGAAATTCTCGAAATTTCTGTGTTCTTGTCTTTTTTTTATTTTGTTTTATATTCTGTCTTGTATAATTTTCATTCGATCTTCCATACGTTCTTTCATTAATTTTTCGACTTGTTTTACTTTTTCTTCCATTCGAATCATATTCCATTTTCTTGTTTCTCATGTCCATTTGTTTGTCCATTTTTTTCCATTCTTGCCCTCATTTTCCGTCCATTTCCTCGTTTCTTGCGTCTATTATTTTTCCCATTCTTGGGCCTATTTTCTCGTCTATTTTTTCCGTCTTTGCGTCTATCTCTCGTCCATTTCCTTGATTCTTGCATCCAATTTTTCGTCCATTTTCTTGTTTCTTGCATCCATTTTTTCGTTCGTTTTCGCAAGCATAGCCACCATCTGTTTTAGCTGTTCTTCCAACATTGTTGCAGTTTGAGTTCTCGTCTCGACCGGCATAAAGTCTTCCCAATTCTTCTTCAATCTGCCCGTAGATCTTCCTAAAACCAATTATTAATCTTGGATCACACTTCTGACCCCAGTGTTACAATATACGGGTATTTAAAATCGACGTGGGTTAAACTCAACAATTTATTTCTTAGTAACTCAAATTTACACGACTAGTTACACAGCGATTATGTGCACAATAATTCCGACTGGAATGGATTTGACTAGGCTCTACTTCTCCCCTTGTCTGGACTACTCTTGTTGACTAAGACTGACTCGTTCCCGAAGGTGGCCTCTATTTAAACCCACATACTTCGCTACTAGACGTTCTGCGGTCGAGGTCTTTCTGGAATCCCTATCGCGACTTCCGCTTCCAGGCTTTAGCGAACGCCGTCTGGTCGCCGTCACCGACGATAATTCATCCATCATCGCCGCACTTAGTAGAAAACCCATAGGCGTCGTACCGGCGCGGCGTATGGGTTTATTTCGTAACACTATTATTGTTCCAGTGATGTAGAGCCATACGTGGTCTATGTCGACCATATCCTTAAATGTAGGGAAGGTACACCTTATGATTTTCGTTAAGCTATTGAGACAACTAGGGACATTTAAAAATGAAATAATCGAAATAAGTAGGGTCAGGTGGAACAAATTTAAGATACCTATACTTAAAACATATTTTGCTGCAAACACGTTAATTCTGGAAAAGATCTTTTAATATAAATTATGAATCACGTATATTTCCCAACATCTTTAAGAATTTGATATTTGTTTGTTTAATATATTTAAACTTATCAAAATTTGTATTGCACAACTATGAAATTCCGTTAAATGTGTTACACATAACTAGAGTACAACTGGATATTTTACTATTGCATTAGTCCTGCAGGTGTCATAATAAAAACAAGTTCTGTATCGACTGCTAAACTTTGGAATAGTGTATGAAATTTAATTATTATACAAATATGCCATCTTTGCCCTACAACATACATTTTCCAGATTACCCCAGGGGTTCCGTGTTGAGCTCGCTTCCTATACAACCGATTTACAGCTCTTATGGGATTCTGGTATCATCTGTGTTTACTTAGTATGCCGACATTTGTATCTACATTACTAAAAGCTATTTTCGGCACTGAATATCAGAACTCCAGCACATTATTTACCTACTGCCTACATCAGTTAATCTCGATCCGTTGCTAGGCAACGTGCATATTTTAACCAATCACAGGCTCATATTCTACATCTTAATCCTCTGTTAAATTAATCGAGGATTAAATATTTAATTCACTTTCTATAAACCGGCCCTAGTAAGTGTTGTACATCATGGTAGGCATGTAATTGTAATTTAATGGTCTATCCAAAGGCGGTAAAAGTATAATTTAAAAAAATATATAGGTTTGCGTCGCGACACCGACGCCATGTATAGGTCAAATTTGCAATGTATTAAATTAAGCTTTCCCCTTTAAGCTGAAAACAATGGCCTTTACAGAATATCAATATTTCTATCCTTTCTGAAAATCTAAGGGCGCGGAGTTTAATCGGGGACTCTAAAATTTTATATTTGTCTCCACCAAAAATGACGCCATAACATTTTTTTGTTTGTGAAGATTCATTTTAAACATAGAAGATAACACGTTGTTTTGGCTGTAGTTTAATAATTCACTCTATCTATTTTATTTTAACATGTATTGCATCAGGGTTTATCGTAAAAAACAAAGATGGTACAATTAAAATTTACAATCAAAAATGCACAATTGGGTTTTTTTAAATGTTTAATATAACCAGCCACCTCCAACCGCTACCTGCTGACAGAATTTGACTTTGGAGTGTATTACAACGGTTTTAGCTGGGAACCAATAAATTTTGATATGAATCTCGACAGGTTTGTAATTAAAAATATGAATTTTAATAACACCTGCTTAATTTTGTTTTCACTTTTGTGTGATAAAAACAATGGTGGAAATTTATTAATTATATGAATTGTCTAGTTCGTAAGCACAGATCTTTAAGTATCCCACGATCCAAATATTTTCAACTTAGGTGACAATGCCGTGCTTGTCGTGAGTTAGTTATGTAACGTATTTTTTTTTGCTGCCCAAACCTATTCGTTGCATGGTTTTACAAATCGTGTAAGATTATAAAGTTAAAGTTGTTGTAAAATTAGGGTAATGGGAAACCAACAATAGAGTAGAAGTTGTCTACATACCTCTACCTACCCGTCTCGTATTATTCTTGTTATTCATTCCAGAGAGGGATAAAAAAAAGTGAGGATGATGATTGTTTTTTTTTTATAAAAATAAAATAAATTGAGGAATAATTTAGTTTGCGTATTGTTATTTTTATATATAAATTGCTTAATTAAAAAAAACAATATGTAAACAAAAATAATAAACAATCGAAGCAATACATACGTACATACAAATAAGTAAACTGCTACCGTGAACCAGATGTTCCTACGAAATATCGATTTATGGTGGTAAAGATTCGTGCCGGTGACAAATCACACAAAACGGACTATTATTTTCCATTAGTAGAATCTGGAAAGGTAGGTAATCGCTGCTTTATGTGCCAAGTCGCATTAAAACAGTAGTTAACATTAATGTGGTCACACCAGAATATTAATAAAATTGTATTTATTCATTCTTTAAAAAAAAACTGATAGCGTCGTTTTAAAATTTGGCTCAATAAATCGACTTGCTGTGTAGATTGACATGCACCTTTATCTACCGGTGTGCCAAATATTGATTGTTTACTTTTGTATATACTGTGCTTTTGTTAACACACAACAAATAACGGTAAGATGAAGCAATATAGATATATGATAGTATTGATAGTGTAGTAGAAGTGTTCTGTGTTCTTACTGATGCTAGTATTTTTAAACTATTTTATGTGCAACAATTTAGATCTTTTCTCAAGAAAAAGTTTAGTCTTTAAAATAAAGCATAAATTCTAGAATAGAGCTGGGAACTTAGCAAGAGTTATGTATATCTAGACAAATAATAATCCATAGATTAAGTTGTTAAGAAAAACAGTTTATCCCCTGATTAACGTAGTCGTGAAACTACTACGCCACTGGGTTGGATGAACGTACAATCAGTGACAACTGATAGCCGCCAGAGTGCGCTGCATTCATTGAGTGGTTCATCTGTCATTTTCTCTTCACAAAAAGGAAAAGGAATGAGAGTTATCAAAAGCGCAGCCATTAATGTCAGAAGAAAGTAACTTCATTATTAAAAGTAGTTGTGTGTGAGTGATTACAATTGCAACCGGCAAACAAAGGTGAGTTACTAAATACTAATTTTGTTACTTTATCCCAACCAGCAACGACGAGGTCAAATGTCGGCACAATTCGCCCAAAATTGCAAGTTTCTGTGATTTATTTATGTCGCAGGTTACGCTATGGTCTACTGATTGCCATAGCAGGTGAGCATTGCATTTCCGTGGTATGGATGACAGTAACACGTAAGTATAATTTCTGGGAAGCTAAAAATTGTGTGTCGACTTCTCTTTGTCGTAAAAATGTGTATATTTTGTTTTGGATTTACAAAACGTCACGCTACTTAGATTTAGGTAATTATTTTTAAAGCACATTAATGTGAAGAAACTAGAAAGTTGCTGGAAACACGGGGTAATCGCTTGAATTTTATGGCTGAATTAGATCATTTGTTCAATCACTGTTGAGTTCAATTTGTTTGTTGTGAAAAATTCCTGCTGTTGTAAGACCGATGGTTAGGACAAAAACAATTAAAAATGTTTTGTTAAAGTAATAAAAACGCCCTCACACACTATTGATAACGTTCCTAAAGTTGTAGGCAGGTCGCCCACTTTGTGTCCATGCAAGATAATTTCATCCATAGACTGGCAAAAACAGCAAAAAATGAATTCTGTTCAGGTTTTTATGTGTTGAGGCGCAGGCGCGGCGTCGCGACGCAGTGATGTTTTCCCACTGCAATATCGTTAGTTATCGCGTTTTAACCGTAAGTGGCACACCCTTTTTGAAAAATTACAAATCTGGTTTCCAATCAGAATTTGTACATGTTGTGGTTTTGACTGAGGGATTGGGAACATGATTAGTTATACAGATAGGGCACTCCCTGGTATTCACAATTCAGAGTTTTGTAGTTCTTTTGTTTATAAACAAAGTAATTAATGGGCCTTATCGATTCGGTGTCGGTAGTTTAACTATTGATTTTTTGGAATTATAAAAAGAAAAAACAGACCAATAATAATGTGAAAGCTTCGAGCTTGAGTCGCTGTGAATTTTTGACAAGTTTTTACATAGTCGCTCATATATTTTTGCATTGTTATAATCCGTCTTGTGATAAGCCTTGCATTTATAATAATCAAAAGTTAGTAAATCTTATAATCTCTGCATAGACGCTCGTAATAATTCGATCGTGTGGTGATGACCCAAGTGCTCATTGGATTCATTCAGGAGACTAATTTGAAAAAACATGTCTAAAACCATCAACGCGTATAGGATGTAAGTTGAGTTTCTTACTTGCTTCATATGTGTGGCGATTACTCATCTTTAAATTTGTCGCTTTTATTTCGTGTAGTGTGGTCATGTAGCGACTTTACTTTGTGCTACTTCTGCAGCTTGAAAAAGCCGGTGCCGCTGTATTAGAGAAGACTATTTTTTCCAACCCGATTCAGAAATGTCGTTCCTTTCTCGTAAATCAATTTGACCGGTCACGCGATTATATCTCCACGACTTTTACCTTAATCTAGAACAATTTCAATTCTTAATTCATTTATAAATCTTCTCCATAACCGTGGCATCATCTTTCTTCTTTCACTCGTTAGTTGGTTATTTTTTATTTTAGTAAAAAGATCGAGAGCTTGGGAAAAATGACTGCGATGTCTCAAGAAGAGATCGTTTCTGCTGTGAGGACGGTGGCTCAAGGACTAGAAGCTCTCCGTTCGGAACATGCAGGACTCCTCCATGGCCTTCATGAAGCCCCCGATCCCGTCGCAAACGAAAGAGCTGGATTGGTGCAACAAAGCGCCGATATGATAGAACTAGGATTGGGGGAAGCTCAAGTATGTTTTTTGTTTATTTTTTTATAATGCGGGGTGCACGGTGATAGGGTGAAACATTGATCGCGGGAACTACCGATGAGTCATGCTATTGGAGAGAGTGGGGGAAAGAAGGCCGTTACACCGACCGATTTGAGGTCCGGCCTTGGGAACATATCTAAACTTAACTCGATTGATTGCGTGTAAGAATTTGTCGGGAATCCGTTGAAAAACGGCTTTTCTGATTTGACATGACATATGATATCTACTGCGACATTATTTGAATGCGGTGTAGTTTCTTTTACTCTGGAAAGGAAATTCACCTACATTTGAAAAGCGCGTTTTCTTATTTCCTGTGCTATAGAAAGAACGAAACACAACGAAATATTTCGCTCGTGCGACTTCGTAGGGGTAGATTTTCAATGCCGTAAAACTTTTAAGTTTTATTAAATGAGTTTCGCTATTTCAAATAATAGTGATTGCCACACAAATTCTGTACTTCCGATCCAAGCCAATAGAACAGCGGTTTGCAAATTAGGGTCATGAAGAATCTAAGCTAGAATTGCAAAATACGCAATTCGATTAATTGTGATTAATGACAAAGAAAAAAACTATTCTATTAAAGACTTAATTTCTGTGGAATTATATTTGGGTGGTCTAAGGTTACAGACTAAAAAGTTATCGACTATTCTTTAGGGTCGTCGGTTGAGATGGAATATTGATTCTAATGGAAATTGGATTTTATAATTTACGGTCATTTTACAGGGCGTTTAAACTGACGGCGGGGGTGGTGCAATGCACCTGGGTGCAGCTTTTCAAGGGGCGGAAAAGTTTTGCTGAATACAAATTATGTTGCAGCCAAATCTTATAAAGGCCATCTAATTCGTAATGTGATTTGAATTCGTGATGTTTTGATTTGAAGTTTATGGATTAAAAATTATTTCAACTCCATTTTGAATTTCCAGGATTTAGTTTTTTATGGAACGTAGTAGTAATCAGTAAATGTATAGCTATTGTACGAACTAGTGTTTTGCGTGTGAAAGATTTCACGAAAGGTCTACACACAATAATTTGCATGTTATTAGTTTAATTTTGGGGTACAAATGATTTATGGTAGCAATCAATCATGGATTCTTAATAAGAATTGAAAAACTATGTCACGATTCCTTACTTAAGGAAATAGTGCGTTTTATTATTAAAACTGACTTTACGTCAATGTAATAGATGTGTTCAAAATTGACCTTGAACTTACCAATCAAGGTGAGTTTTCTATAAATGTTAAATACCCAACAATGTTGACTCTTGATCTGGAGCCAAGATTGGCAACGTATATGAAATTGGGGGTGTTTGTTTGTTGCAACATATCAGCAGTTTTAACGTTTGAGTGATTTTTATTTGTATGTTTATAAATAGGATTCAATTCTGTTTAAACTTATACCAGACATTATTAAAAAATAATTAACAACTTTTTCTTGGAAAAAAAACATTAATTTGGATGAAAAGGGTATATTTTGCCATTGTTTTCGATTTATTATCGAACAGTATTCGTTAGAAAAAGATTTAAAGCCTCGATACAGTGTTTTTTTTTTGTGTTTTAATTCCATCAATTATTGGTGAGTATGCATTTTATTTTAACGTAGTATCTTGCATTTTAACGAAAGATCGTGAGTTATTTATACTACGTAACGTACAATTTGTTAGTTCAGGTCGACAATTCGATGTTTTGTACACATATAGTAATTTGGTAAGTGCTGCTGATGGAAAGAGAAACTTGTTAAATCGGAACTATTCTAGCGTAGAAACAACGGTTAATCAAAAAAGACAAATACTTAAGTAGTTTATTAAATATTTCAAGTATCAAGTTTTTACTTCAACGTCCGTTGTAAGGAACAAACAGGATTGTTGTAGAAGTAACAGTTTTAGAAATTACTTAATTTTAACTACAAAGAGAAAACTAAATACGAATTTAGCCAGAAAAAAGCAAACAGTGTAATTAATTTCGTTGAATATTTATTTTTTCTATAAATAATTAATGAAATTAACACGAAGATATGTGATATCTACATGTACATCTGCAAATACGTGTGTCTATGTTATTTTCTTTTAATCATTTGGGGTTCGTTGTTTCTTTGCTAAGTTTCTCATGCTACATATATCAACTTGTTGATTTTACACATTGTGGCAAAAATTCTATAGATTTAGAAGCAAAGTTAAACAATCTAGTGGTTGTAAGTAATTTCGGTATTATTGTGACAATAATTTATTTAAGCTGTTGTAAGAATTGCTGTTTTTTTTGTTGAAAATATTTAGAACTTGCAATTGTTTTGCTCCAGAAAAGATTAAATAACAGTTCAGGTGTGACAGTACTTTTCTTAGACCACAACGGCGGAGTTCTTTAATTTTAAGTGCTGGTTAAAAGTTTTGCAAACGTGAATGCTTTAAGTAAATTAATTTTTTAAATTTCATTGTTTGTCTTTTCGGCTTATTAATAAATCTTGCATTTGTGGTACATCATCTGAAGACTAAAATCATGTTTTAATGTGTTTACCTTTTGCACTAGGTTCGTTTCAAGTATATTCAATAAAATTTTACGATGCTATAATGCGAAATCTAGATACAACGGAAAAGATGATTGCTACCCACAAACTAGCACTTGCGGTAAACAAGACAATTAAAAAAAAATTGATTTGTTATCAATCGTTTGAAGATTTATGATACAAAGTTTAACTTTCTGGTTTTTAATTCCTTAAGGTTGTAACACTTTGTTTAAAATGAAATATTTGTACTAAATGTAGTTAGTTACTTAATGTCCTAGTTCTTTTTAAATAAATTGTTCTTCACGAATGTTTCGTTCGTCTTTCGGCTCAAAAACACGTGTATACTTAAGTGACGTTGAAAATAACATTGTTATCTAAAAGTGCTGGCGGAGGTGATTTATTGGGACGTCTGACGGATAAGCAGCGGCTTTCCAATGGTGGTTCGAAAGCAAATTTATAGATTTTTTTCTTAAAAAATGCACTTAACGTGATGTTATGTAGCATTGTGAAGTTTAAAATTTTTCTCAAACTGAGGGACACTTTGGAGTTCGTACTAAAATACGAGATGTTTGTGGTATTACCTTTAGACAGGATTTCCTTTACCATACAAATCTTAATATTCGAAAAAAATAAAATTTACCTTTTCTAATCCATGACGATAAGGAACGTCATTAGTTTCTTATGACACACCGAAGTGTGGCGTAAAATAACGAAAACTACTAATTAGTCGGTGAACTAAATTAATTGTATGAATCAAAATTTTGCCGGAATGGAAAAATTAAAAAGAAAATTCATACTTGTAAATAAATCACGATTAATCTTAATTAACATATGTATAATTTTACTTCAATAGTGGAGGTTTGATTTTGAATCATTGCTTAAACATTTCATAGTTTTCTTGTCTTCAACAAGCTTCATTCTTCAAATTATAATTTACTACGAGGGCCTCTTTTTATTTCTGGTCCTTATACATATACCAGCTAAGTTGGTAATTTTTATTATAATATTAAGATCATAAAAATGATAACGAATTTGGAAAAATACAATTCTCTAATACAAAAGGTAATATTTTTTCGTTTGTATGTAATTTTATGTCTTCAACTTTTATAAACTTTCAGTATTTTTTTTTTGGTTCTGATTAATATAATAAAAGTCAGTAGAGGTAATGTAATTTAGACGAAACACATCTCACAGCTATACGTGCTGTCTTTTAATTCACAAGGAAATCGGAGAAGTAGATTTATGATCATTTACAAAATGTTTGTTGTTTTGTAAAGATGAAATGATTTAGGGTTTTATCTGAAGGTGATATTTTGTGATGTAAAAAATACATATAATATTATATGAAAAATATTGGTATAGAAGAGTTCAAGGAACCGGTAGAAAAAACGAAATCTGTTCAGTTAGAAAAAAATTAGTAAATATTAATGTGTTCCATAATTTCAGAATTGTGTCCAGAAGCTCTTTTTAAATTATGTATTTCATTTTATTTCATCTTATAAGATTGGGAAACCCAAAAATACAAGTTAACAAATCTAAATGAAAACTTGTTAAGTCAGTCGTAAATGTGTATGCCATTTAAGTATTGATTGAATTGACAATTATCCATTTCACATTAAATGTTAGTAATTGTAATAGTAAGCTATTGGCTCAGATTTTTAAAAACAGGTTAGCGTCTTGTCTGCGTATATATAGTTGCACAAGTACTCTTATTATTACTGATTTGTGGATAGAAATGTCACCAGTGTTTTCATTTTTTGGTTATTCTATAATTTTTTTATTTAGTATGATGTAAATTGCAGAAACGCCCTGAATAGTCATTGTAACCTAATTCGTCTGTAGAAAAAAAAAAAAATGGAGATGATTATACGCAACATCCTGCTGCTGTACTAAAACTGCTACTAAAAAGTTGACAAGGATTTAAATTTTCGTATGCGAGCACATGCCTCACAAATTGTTTTAATCACAATCGTACTGTGCTCTACTCATATTTGTGTTTTGTTGAACTTTCACCAGATATGTATTGACCGTGACAGATGAGTCACAGGAAAACGTGTTTAAAGACGGGGATTGTAGAAGCTTTGTCGATTGTAGATGGGGCATGAAGGTGCGTAGGGTAGATGTGATCACCTTTTTTGAATTTTTGCGTTAAGGAAACACCCTTGACAGCATCTTTCCACCCACTCATGCTTTTTGCGTGCCATTGTCAGATGTCACTTAAATTTAACAATAGCAGTAAAAAACTCCAATTAATGACATTATTTTAATTAATCAGATATTCAGCACAACTTATCAAAGATTTTGAAAAGCACGGTTTGTGCTGTCCTTGCATATGTGTAATAACTAGTAAAACTTGGCAATTTTCTTATTACGTAATCACATATGGCTGCTGGATTTATTTGTTTTAAATGATTTAAAAATCTGAGAAGGGGACACAAAATTAAGAGAAGCATTTATTGTACTTTTGTAAAATGTGTAAAAAAATAC